ACAGTGGCGGTGCCTCGCCAAAGATTCTTGAAGTACACACTTTTTAACGTTGCTTTGGAATGATTCCAAGGATTGTTATAGTGTGCTTTCAATTCCATGCTGGTTTTATAATAACATGACCTACTTCTATGAATTTGTAAGCTAAGTTTGTTGAACAAATTCACTACAGAAATATTATCTCCCAGACGATTTCTAATTATCCCCTTTCCAACAAGCAAATCCACGTCTTTCTCACTATTAATAAGATAATCCATTATTCTCACATAGTTACAAACTCGAGTATTCGATGGATAATGACATTGCTCCAAAGCCATTATATTTCGAAGCAAACGTTCTGTCCCATAATCAGCCACTACCAAATGAAGTATTTGCAATTCATGAACTTCGAAGTATGAAATCAGCCGCTTTCGCTTCTCAAATCTTATGTCGAGTAATGATGTTCCTGTAATACCCTTAAACTTCACTCCCGACTCGTGCAACTTTACTGCACAAGGTAAATCTGAAATGAACCCTTGCTCTAACTCCTTTCTCTGTGGGAAATTTCTGAAGAGAGTACTTCTTCTCAAATCGGTGAAATGTTTAACCACCATCTCAGCGGGTAAGGTATTGGATAAACATAAGAATTTATGAGAAAGATCCCTGAAGGTAGGAGTTTCAAAAGCTAGATTGTATAATTCCTCGAGGACAAAGAATGGAAGTTGATTTTCTAGTAGCTGCAAATCCATCTTTAGGGCAAACCTTGTTGTTGGAATCTTTAACAAAAAATTGTCACTTCTATCGTTATGGTAACTCCTTAGAAAAAGCTCAAGGACGAAGATAGCATCATGTTGAATCATGGTTATAAAAGCATCACTCTCCATTTTTATGATCTCTGCATAACAATTACGAATTCGTTGTTCGTTGTTTTCTATGAAGCTTAAAAGTTCGTCACGTTTCTCAACTGTTATTCGCTTGAGAAAACTTTCCATATACCTTATTTTCTGTCTTTCCATGAAAGCTAATTCTTCTTTACCGTGGTGAAGATGACCTATTGAAACTAACTGAGGAGTGTAGGCTTCTTCATTTATTCTGCGAATGCTTTTAGGAACCCTGCAAATATAACACTCAAAAGCAGGCTCAGGATCTGATAAGTTTTCTTCAGAGATATCAATTAGCAAATCTTTGCTCCGGTCCTCATCTTTACTGGCGGCAATACTACTCATCTCCAAACCCATATTCCTTAAAAAAAAAAAAATTTATAAGTAATGTTCCTCCTCTCCAATTCTGGACTGGGATGTGTTAATAATACTTCTGGTTGGTATCTTTGACTCTTCAAATTTCTATATATTCTTGTTCATCACCTTCATATCATGTGTTTCCTCTATCTTTTGTGCAGATTTCAGAAGTTAAGACTATAGTTTTGAGTATGAGCTTATTTGCTTAAAATTGCCTCGAGTTCCTAACTTATATGCATGCATTAGTTTCTCATATATTACAAATAGTTATTCATATAAGATACTACACAATCTCTCATATCCCCATCACTTGGATGCTAATCGAGAGCTTCTTTTTTGTTTATAATCCTAAAATAATTCTAAAACAAAAATAAATAAATTGTAGACAAATATAATGTTAAGTAACTACTTACTAGTTTATGCATGCTTTTAGGTGAAATGACATCTAATATACATTAAAATGAGTTGATATATATAACATCTTAAACTATTCTCAGAGTTAGAAACTATAGAAACATAGAACAAATTGTTTCGTTTTCTTTGTAAGCATATACATTGATATTCATAAATGAAATGAATATTCATTCTATGTTATTTATGCACAGTTTATTAATTTTTTAAACCAAACATCGGAATAACTAGGAATAATTTCTTTTGCACCAGAGTGATAAACAGAAAAAACACGAATATATAATTAAAAATAATGAAACAGGTGCGCATTTAAACCTGAATATTTTGGCCAGAAATTAATAACTAGCCGATAGCACCAGAGCTCCTCCTCTCAAATATATACTTTAATCGCAGAGAAATGCCCACGTAAACTTATGGTATCCCACTCCCTCGGTCCCTCTCTTCTCGACACGTCCACTATATATAATTTAACACCTGACAGTCCAAGAAGGCTAATGGGTAATTGAGTCAACTCTTCTCCCACGTGTTGGTCAATAATTAAATAGATACCAAATGGGTAACAACCATCTGCAAGAAATAAATGCTTGTATAGAGGTTTATCTGATTATCTGGTTACACCCAACAGATAATAAGCAGAAGAGAGTTATAATTAAAATGGTAAAGAGGCTAACAGACAGGCAATTTAAAGAAAAAATAGAAAAAGAAATTGAATGAACAAGGAAGACTTGGGCTAAGTCTTTTGCCAGTATCTAGGCCTCAATTGACGGACCTAAAAGATATAGTGTATTTTTTTATCAATAAATATATATGGAAGTGGATGCCTTATCATGCATGATAGAGTTAGTTGGCTTACATGAACAATAATTAATTGTTGAGAGCAACTATCATGCATGATTCACGTTGTAGCAAATAATGAAGAGCAAAAAAATCCTTGAAGATAATATTGTAGAGTGATTTGAGATTGAGTAACTAATTTTTTAAGATAATATTCTACAGTATAATACCATATTTTTCATCCATTCTAAACCTCTTGGTAAAGAAAAAAGAAAAAACAGAATAAAATGAGAGTTCTAACAACCAAATATTACATGGAAATCATAAGCATCCATAGTAGGAATTAATCCAATCAATTAAACATACTATACATATTATATACTGAAGCAAATATATTAATTAATTATCATAAAACAAATTAAGAACATGAATAAGTGAATTAATCAGAACCTGAATATTTTGGTAGAAAATACAGAAATAATAGTGTGGCTGAGAACATCAGTTTCTCGATCCCGAGATCCTCCTCTCGAATACTATCAAAGCTCACAGGGATTTGTTACTGCCATAATACGTTTTCTCTTCTGCTTTCATTATTTGCCTTACTTTGTGTTATATATAAACAAGTTCAACTTTTCAATTTAACGATTAAATAAAGACTAAGTAATGTGAACCAGCAAACCTATGCACACAAGTTGTCACCTGCTTCCTCGGCTTCTGCGCATATGTCCTATTTAAAAAATGCTAATTAATTGAATGACCAGATAAAAGTCAAAGTGAAGTCAATGTAAATTAATTAACTGGGACTTTCTACATAATTTACAAAGACCATGTACCTAACACCTATTTAAAAAATGCTAATTGAAGGATTAAAGAAAGACTAAGTTAACATCAACCTTAAATAAACTGGGCCTACTGCATAAAATAAGATTAATCCTAAAGAATATGTTACAATATATGCCATGTGATAAACAACTCAAGTCATTTTGTTCATATTTATAAGGTTTTGCTATTGTATACAAATCTTTAGTGAGTAGGAAAATCATATGACCCACCCATGGGTAGCCCAACGGTAAAAACGAACTAAGAGGGTTATACTTGGCTTCAATCTACAATCTCAAGTTCGATTCTCCGTTAGGCACAAAGGTAGTATCTTTGTTTATGATTTATTTAAAGGGGATACGACGATGGGTTATTATAGGATAGCTTCGCCTGAAGAATAGTCTAAATGCATAGTCAAAGCACGCATAAACTGACTTAAACATCTTAGTCTAAAAAAAAAAAAAAAAAAAAATCAGATGGCAAGGAATTGGACTTGAGACAACCAAGACTCGAGACTCCTCACAAACCGAAATTAGGCCCACAGGATGAGAGATTGGCAAGTATCCACATCTAATGGGCCAAATAATGATACTGGATCATTAACAGCTCAAGCCCGAGAAATTTGTCTAATAAGAGATAGGCCCAAAACTATAAATAATAATATTGGATCATTAACAGCCCAAGCCCGAGAAATTTGTCTAATGAGAGATAGGCCCAAACCAATGAAGTGATAACAAGTAGCCGCTTGCCAAAACAAGATACCTCTCTGCATCCCCAATTTAGGCACTTTATCGTTAAGCACCATTCTTGTAATTATTACGTCCTGGATTAATTTGGTGAGAGAAAGAATTAAAAATTCACCCTGAGTTATTGGTTCAATATTCAAGGTCCTGATTTTCCAAATACTAGTAAATAACCCCCTCAAACCAATAACTATTAATCAACTTTAACTTCAAAACCAATATTTTATAGGCAAAGACGACTGAATTAAGAGTAAATTTTCGTTTTGTCTTTACATAGACAATTGAATTACCATACTCTCTTCACATGATTTAACATCTATTAGAATAAGAGGTATATCCTAATAGTTTAAACTATAATATCTAGACTACTAGACTCTAACTTCAAGGGGTATTAGTTCAGATATAGTTTTATAATGCATATGACAATATCAATATACTATACTATATATTAATAAAATAAAAATATTAAAAAATAAATAAAGCAATTATGATGAATTAATTGTTATATTCCTTCTAAATTAAATCTTCAAATTTTAACACAGATTCTTATCTACCATGTCACATAAAATTAGTACATACCATAGAAATTAATAGTAGTGCTTAAATTATTGAACAAGATGGTATCGTCTAGGATATCTTACTCTAATCTTCCAATGTCCATTAACCAAACTTGAATTTCTGCAACTTCCTCGGCATGGCATCATAACTTGATTTTTCAAGGGATAATTCCTTTTTCGTCCCTATGGTCTCAGTTAGCACCATGTTAGTCCAATTGTTTCAAATCTTATGTTCGGTCCTTCTCGTTTCAAATTACTACTATTACTATAGTGCTTTGACTTAAAAAATATTAGTTAACCATAAATTATATTGAAATAACAAACATACTCTTGTTTTAAAGTAATTAAATTTATATTAAACTACGCCCGGTCGGATTTTCTGATACATTCCTATTAATAAGCCGCCAAAGAATCAAAGATAATGGGTTTTCTTATCTAATGATTGATATAAGAGCAGGGGTTTCGAGAAGAAAAAATAGAACATGTTACACCGAGTTGATGAGAAACATATAGTAAGCAAGCATATGATTATTATTCAGACTAAAACAACTCAAAATGCAAAATTACACCACAAGTAAACAGCAGGTCTAGTACAAGTATTAATGAAAATCACACAACTTCAAAGATAGAACATATGGTTTGTATGACAGTGAGCAGTAGAAGTATAACTGCCGCAATAGTTCCTGTGCCTCTCCACAGATTGCTGAAGTAAACTCTTCTTAAAGTTGCCATCGTTTTGTTCCAACGACTGTTACAGTGTTCTTTGAGTTCCACGCACATTTCATGGTAAGGGCTTGGGCCAAAAACGATATATTGGCAGAGTTTGTTAATCATATCCGCTATAGAAGCATTGTCCCTCGCAAAGCAGGAAATAATTCCATGTTCGGCAAGCAAATCCACATCTTTCTCAGAATCGATTAGGAAATCCATTAGCTTCAGAAAATCGCAAACATGAGTATTCCAGGGGTAATGGCATTGCTCCAAAGCTAGAACATTTCTAAGCACACGTTCAGTATCATCGTCTATATATAAATATGGAAGTTGCAATTCATGTAATTGCTTTTCAAATCTTATTAACATGTCTTCTCCTTCAATTTTCTTAAACTTCACTCCCGACTCATGCAGCTTCGTTGCACATGGTAAATATCTAATAAATGTGGCGGCTTGACCTGATGTCTGCCAGTTTTGCAGAAGAGAATTTCTTTTCCAATCCGTGAAATGTTTAACTGGCGATTGGGGAGTAATCAATTTCATATTCGTAAATTGACTGAAGAAAGTACAAGAAAGCTGCATGAAGGTACCTTTGTATTCCCAAGAGTCAACATAAGCTAACACAAATATTCCCTCAAGGACAAAGTATGGAAGTTGATTCTCAAGTAATTGCAAGTCTGAGGCTAGAAAATATAAAGATTTCAATGAATCACTTGGAGTGACTATATTACTTAAGAAGAGTTCTACAATGAAGATAGCATCATACAAAATCATCATTACGTATTCACGAGCTGGAAGCACAGATGTCTCTGCATAACAACTACGAATTTTTTTTTCATTGTCCTTGATGAAGCTTAGAATTTCATCTTGTTTCTCAATTGTTGTTCGCTGGAAAAAACTTATCATATATCTTCTTTTTGTCTTTTCCATGTTAGCCAATTCTAGTTTTCCATGGTGAAGAGGACCTATTGAAATTGATCGAGGAATGTAGGCTTCTTTATTTACTCTACAAATCGGCTCAGGAACCTTGTAAATACAACACTGATCAGGATCAAGCTCAGACTCCAAATTTTTGTTAATATCATTTCGCAACTCTTGGACCAAATCCCCATGTTTCGAGGAAGCCGTCATCTCCAAGTTCATTCCTATAACCAAAGTGCAGACAAAGTAGTCACTTAAAATAAATATATAAATGCAAACTCAAAAAGAAATCATTTTTGTGTCTGAAACGAAATGAAAAGCTGCTCAAAACAATGCATCTGTAAAAGTATAAAATAAAATAATATCAAGGTGATATCAAAACTTACTAGCCAGTTCTTGAGGAGGAGATGACTTCCCATTGTTATCTTTTGCTTGAGTAGAACCATTTCCTGCAGTTGCTGCTTCCCTCACTTTTTCATTAATTAACATTTTGTGATATTTCTTCTGTGCTTATAATAAATAACTAAAGAAACAAATCAAATTACCAAAGCAATTATTTTAAAAGTTTAATGAAATGAATTAGATAATGCTCAAACAATGGATTATTTATAAGTATAAAATACTATAACATGTATTTGTAAGGTACTATTGAATCGTACCAGCCTGCTCTTGCGGAGGAGATGTCACAAGCTCATCGTTCTTGGCATGTAACTCAATCTCAGGTACGACGTCAATCCTCACTTCATTATTCGACATCCCTACCGACAAGTCATATACACTCAAAAAAGAGACAGAAAGAGAAATTATCTGAAAATAATGTGAAAATAAAACCCAACCAGAGAGGGAGGAAAAAAAGGAAAAAAAAAAAAAAAAAACCAGGTTGAAAGAGTTACCTCTTTGGGTACCTGAGGTTGGGATGCAATACCCGAAAATGAAAGTTTGGAAAGAAAGTTGTAAGGGAACTTAAGCTGAAATAAGAAAAGAGGGCTAATGGAATGTTTTTTTTTTAACTTATTTTTTACCCCAGGAAGAAGAATGACCTCAAGTCAAGAAACAGTGAAACACCTCCACAGTAAAAAACGGAAGGCTTTTACATATTTTTCCTTTAAAAAAAAAAAAAAAAAAAAAAAAAAAAAAAGTCCTCGTTCAACATAGATCCTAAGGTTAAAAACTTTTAGAGTGCCTTATGGTTGAGAAAATATTGGATTATTAAAAGTGTTATATTAATAGAAAATTAAACTACCTTAAAGATTATTTAGAATCTTTAAAAAAATATATCTAGTTAGTTGAAATAAATTGATAGGTATGTTACATTAATATGTTTGATTAGGAGAAATAAATTGGTAAGTATGTTATTTAAATTACTAAATTACCGTCATCTTTAAATATTAATATGATATTATTTTTATTATTAATTTTTGAATAGTTTTTTTTAACCCCTAGCATTTCATATTTATCTAAAATACCATAGCTTATATAAAATTTTAATTTGTAACAAAATCACCCCCACTAAACCACTACCGGTCACCAGTCACCACCATCGATCACCGCCTTCTGCCACTAGGAATCGTCGAAAGTCACTAGAAATTATTGAGAGTTGCTGATATGGTCATTGGCCAGCTGCCAATGGTGGTGGCTAAGTAGCGGTGGTGGTCTGTAATTTGTTTTAAATATAAGAACATTATTGTCTAAAAACTTAATTAGACAAAGGTAAAATTGCAATGATAGATTAATGTTAATTGATTTTAAAACAAGGGCATTATTATCTAAAAATTTAATTAATAATAGATAAAATTGTAACAAAAATAAAATTATTATGTAATCTTATAATACCTAAGAAAATGAAGGTAATAAGATTAGCTCTAATATTATCACCAGTAATTATTATTGGTTTTTAAAGATTATTGAAATCTTATATTAGTTGATAACCAAATGTGATAATGAAGTAATATAAGATGACATTATCTAAGTATTTCAACATTACCTAACCAAATGCATCTTTAGGTTTTTTTTAATTATTCTTTTTTATTTAAAAGAAAAGAATAGGAGGCAGAATTTTTTTAGAATTTTCAACAGTGACTGATTTTATTAGAGCAATTCCTTTTTATAGCAACGAGCGGTAATCCATGTGATTACTTATCCCAGCCGTTCATTTCTACCTAAAGAAACACAAAATTAAACAATTTCATTCGTCAGATCTCTGCTCTAGTGTTCAAAGAGTCTTTACTATAGTAGTCACTCTTTTCTTAGTAATCAAAAACGACAGCGCATCATACTACTTACTCAACCAGGCAACTTTTGTTTTGTTTTGTTTTACTGATATTAGTGGTGTGGGGCTAATTAGCAAGAAAAATTCAAACACGTACACCTCCTCAAGTCAATAAGTGGGAGCCATTGATCAAAAGAAGAAAACCGACATGTGACCAATAATTGTTAAAAGATTTTTAATTAATTTTCAACATCAATAATGCTATTACCTTTAATGATTATCTTAAAAATTTTCTTACAGTGGCATTGACAATTGATCATGCTCACCGACACCGTCTAATGTTTGTTTGGAAAAAAGAAAAGTTAAAAAAGGTAGTCTTAAACGTACATTTCTAAAATTGTATATTATCTTATTGGTAATATTATATTAATAAAAAAATAAATTATTTTAATGATAACATAAAATTTTTAGAAAAATATGTTTAATTAGATTGAAATAAATTGATGAATATGTTATATAGATTAGTAAATTATCTTCCTTTTTAAATATTAATATATTATTATTTTTAATTAATTATTTTAAACCCTTATATTTAATATTTTATTAAAACACTTCATCACATAAAAGTTTAATTTCTAACAAAATCACCTTCACATATCTTAAGTCATTATTGGTCATCAACCACCATCGTTGGTCATCATTGATAGTTATAGGAATGACACACAATCGATTAGATCTCATAGATTGTGTATCAATATAGTCGATTTCAGCTAGATCCATAATGAATCTGGCTTGAAACGATCAGATCTAAGACTATAATATGACTGTTAACAACGGCTAAAAACTTGGTCGTTGAAGTAACTTTTGCAATTAGCAGAAAGTGAACATATAAATATATTAAAAAATGTAAATGCATTAGAAAGTATGTTCTTTTTTATTTCTCATTATATATATATATATAGAGAGAGAGAGAGAGAGAGTGTGAATGTTTTTTCGACCAAAAGAGGAAAATTCATAAAGAAAGAGCTGGAAGGCAATAGCTATTGATAAGTTTACAAATGTCTCTAAATAAAAGCAGCCTGAGGCAGATGATATTGATAAGTGTGGTCTACAAGCATGAAATGGATTGCATGAACTTATTTCCACATTTTATGGATAAGTGGGCCATCAACCTTATCTCTTTCATATAGAAAACCACCAAATGATAATATTTAATTTCTACATTTATTACATGCTACCTATTGCATCTGCCTGCGGACTGCTTTTATTTAGATTGTATTTGGAAAATATGTATTTGTAATTGAAAAATATGTATTTTTAATCTCTTTCATTTAAAGAAAAAAATAATTAAAAAAAGAAGAAAGAATGGGTATTGAGATCTTTGTGCCCCTGGAATTAATAGAGGATAAGGCAGTCGTGACAGATTGAGGAGGGAGACAGTGAATGATACGAGTTGGCGGCGAAGTAAAGAGGAGAGGAGGTCATGGTAGTGTGGGAGGCGCGTGTGAGAGACTGGAGATGATTTATTTTGGGGTTATGGTTTTTATTAGTGTTTTTGTAATCTTGCGATCATGTTTTGAGTTTTACACTATCTTTTCCTTTCTGCCAATGTGGACACACTCGTAAAAGGTGAACACCTTCACAAGTATGAGCACTTTAGCGCGTGTGTGCTCACAATGCTGTTGACAGATATTTTTTCTCAGTCACACTTCAAACACTCATTTTACCTTTTAAACAATATTACTCCTTGTTATTATTCTGTTTTATGCTTTTACACTTGTCCACTTTTTATTTGTTATGTGAGAAAATGAATATTGTCTTTGTTTGTGGTTCTAAAATTTCTTGTGCAAAAAAAAAAAAAAAAAAACACAAAAGTTAATATTTAACTTTTTCCCAACCCTTGATGCATTGATCTCTATATATTCATTCATTTCTAGCATTTTCCTCAAGGAATCTAATTGCAATTGTTTTGCTCTCTTAATATTCTCTGTGGTTCTCATTTTGGTTATGGTTTCTTACTATGTTTTAGGAGGCTTATTATTACATCTTCACTTGTCCTTGTGTGAGATCTTTTTGGATGCTATTTTCCTTGGTGACGATGATGTTGAACCAATGGATTCAATGTCGTTCGTGTGTGTAAAAAATTAAGTATAAAGCAGTGAATGCGTAAAGAAAATAGAGAAATAGACAAGAGCGATTTTTAAGTTGTTCAGAAGCAATCAGCAATTCCTACGTCCACTGTTATTTTATTGATAAGATTATAGAATAAGAATATCTTTGTTCGTAAGAAGATTTTTCATATATCCCTGGTTGGAACGAGAACTCCATATTTATAGTGTTCTGGAGGTAACCTTGGATGTGAAGTAATTCACATTCACTTGGACACGTGGCGTCGCATCTTTGACTGGGTGGATGAAGCAACCCCCATGCAGGCGGACACGTGGAAAGACACTAAAGCCGCATTCTTATTGGCAAAGCAATCTTCGTGTGGGGAGGGCACACTGTCCTAGCAAGGGCAGCTTCATTTCTTCCTCTGCAAGCTTATGCCTTTTAAAGGCAGGCCCACTTGGTGGACACGTGTCGACTTTTCATCCTGCATGTATTACCATCCAACAATTAGCCCCTACTTTTTGGAGTTCGAACTCAAGCTTCAAAAACTCTTGCTTGAGCGATATATATATGGGTTTATTTTAATAGAAACTTGTTGATGGGTGTTCGCCACAAATTTGACTGCTTTAGGCGAACCTTAGCTATTTGATTTGATATCTTACTCAATTTTAGCAAGTCATGGTTACTTAACACAGGTTCCCATCAATGTAGGTAAATTGGAACTACTTAGAGCGAGCTCTTTTCACTACATGCGAGCTCAACCTATTTAGAGCAAGCTCTTTGCTTGGTATGCACGAGCTCGATCTGTTTAGAGAGAGCTATTTGCTTGGTATGTGTAAGCTCAATCTGTTTAGAGCGAGCTTGAAGTGCTTGGAGCAAACTTTCCATTTGGTATATGCGAGCTATGGCCAACTATCGCAAGCTGTTTGAACTGCTTTTAGCAACCACTAAAGAGTATTTAGTGAGCTTGCGAGCTTTGAATTATTGTTTCTTATGAATTGCTTGTCTGAGTTGTCACCTTGTTCTCCAAGATTATTGTGTTTGTTGGAGTTCCATCCATTGGTCTTCTTTCTTTTTGTCTTTTTCTTGGAGGCATGATTGAATGCCAGCTAGGCACATCAAATTGCATTTAATGAAGCATGGTTGGTGTAATGAGTATGCACAGACTTGAAACAACATTCTCTTTTCCAGCATTTAATATTTATCAAGCGGTTATACGTTCTCCAATGTTTTTTGGCATTTATCTACCCCCATCTCCTTGATCGTGACCACATGTACAACAGTTGTCTCCACGTGTGGAAGATGAACGGTTGGCGATATGTCTTTAGACGAGTATTTGAGAGGGAAATGGAGGGGTTTTTCCTCACTCTCATATTTTTTTTTTCAAATTTCTTTGTTTTCTCCTTCCTTTCTTTGTTTTGCAGAAACCCTAGCACTTTATTTGCCTCAAAGATTGCTCTTTTCCAAAGCTTGCATAGTCTGATCACTGCAACTTTGAAGGTTTGTTCCCTGTTTACTCGTTTTTTTATTCATGAATTGTGTATTTCATCGCATGCATGGGTTATAGGTTTCTGGGTAATTTTTGGTGGTGAAATCAACGTTGGTGGGTAGTTTATGCTTAGTTTGGGCCTTAGCAAA